GTGTCCGATTTGGTTTGAAAAGTGTCCGATTTGATTTGAAAAGTGTCCGATTTGGTTTGAAAAGTGTCCGATTTGATTTGAAAAGTGTCCGATTTGGTTTGAAAAGTGTCCGATTTGGTTTGAAAAGTGTCCGATTTGGTTTGAAAAGTGTCCGATTTGGTTTGAAAAGTGTCCGATTTGAAGTGTCCAGGTTCGACCCTCGATGAATCTTGGCATACTTTGAAGTTCTCTTCTAGGGTATTGCTGTAGCCGTGACCAAGATGATATAACAGTTTTATTGCTTGAGACCACCTCTAAACGTTTAGCGGTGGTCTCAAGCAAAAACCTGCCGTACATTCAAGGCTCTGACGAAGGCGATAAGGCCGAAACGTTAGCCAATAAAACTGTTGTATCATCTTGGTCACGGCTACAGCAATACCTAGAGTGTCCGATTTGATTTGAAAAGTCCGATTTAAAGTGAAAATGGTATATATTTTATTTGTTTTTTTTCCGAAAAAATCCTCCTTCTTCCTTAAAAGTTCCCTGAAACAGCCGCCAGGCAGGGAGCGAGAGAAGGGCGAGTTATACATTACATTTTAACGAGAAAAACCAAGAAAAGTCAACTAAAGAAAACATTTTTCTTGAAGGCGACTACGATTCCCCTTTCTGCGACCAAATACGACCACGTCGCTGATGATCCCAATGTGTACGACGTGCCCTGACTCCAGTACTTCTTACGTCAAACGATGCAGCTCAAACTACCTCCCAGTACGAACTCTGATTTTTGATTCGCACAAGTTTTCAACAGGGGATATATCCCTCCATGGCATCGCACTGCAGCTGAATAATCAGCGTGATTACTAGCCGGTCAAATCGAGTAGAATCGAGCCAGTAAGACAAGCAAAGTTAGCAAATTGAACTCAGGATATAAATAAACGCAAAACTCAAAAAAATTATGTAATCGAAGAAATACGAAAGTGGTGCTCAAAGGTCACTCAGAAGCTTACCTCATAGTATCGCCTATCAATAACCGTTTTTGTAGGTGGTCTCGTTCGCTTATTGACTTTAATTATTTCAATGTTGCAACTGAGACTCCTGGAAACAAATGATGGGATTACCTTCAAATGCTTTGGTGAATGAAAGGGATGCAGCAATAAAAGGAACACTCACTGTGCATCGCTTTTCAGGAACACTTGGGTATTTGAAGCTTTCATGAAAGTCTTCTCTTTGATACCTGGCACTACCAGCTGGATATGTAGCTCACTGAGGGAATCATCGTATTTACCTATAATTCAGCTTGGTACTTTTATGTTGTTACAGTGTAAACATAAATAACGGTAAGCAGAAGCGCCGCAGAAGGAGGCCATGTTCAGTTAGAAATAAACAATACTTTTACCAAGGTAGGTCAATAGGTCAGTCCGGCTATTTGCAATATAATGCACACCGCATTCTATGAGTAGTGTGCGGGCACAGTGGGATGCACCCATCACCGATGACTTCTTACTAAGGTTAAATCCCCCCTTCCGACCAGGAAAATGATGAAGATGATGCCAACACGTGAGCCAGATGCTGTTCTTTGTGAAAATCCTGGCCAGCGAGTTAATTCAGCTCGAATTCGAGCTCAAACCAGTCATCGGTGAGGCTAGACCTACTGTCAATATTCAATAATGACTAACCCAACCCCACACTTTTAGGAGTTGAGGAAAACTCTCAGATTTCGCTAGAGTGCCGTCCAGGGGTCATTTACTTTCGTGAACGCGGAAATCACACTCGTTCTGCGCGCAAGTGTTATGTGGCGCGCTACAGACCCCGGCCGCTTGGGGGCCAGCGCGCTTTCGAGAGAAACGCGAAAGGAAAAAGCTCCATACTTTTTTCATAGTATTGTTCAGCAAATTACATAGGTAGATTTGAGTTCACCGTGCCAAGGGGGGGGGGCGTGCAACGGTATGCACCTCATAGGCAATGGTCGAGCTGTTGACCTTTCCTGGTTAGGCAGTTGCAAGTCTGTCCGCTTACGCTAATAAGGGCAAACCGTCCATAGGATGAAAGTCAAACAAGAGAGGGAAGCCATAGGGAAAGAAAGACATGGGTACACGCAGAAAGCTGCCCCAGATATGGGTTAATCACCAGGAGGGAGTCTCCGACAAGGGCCCAATATCTACTAGGTGGTAGATCTGAGTTGAGGAATGATGGTAGTTGTTTACTCTAAGTGATAGTGAGCCAAATACCAGATCATTCCTGTATAAAAGACTGTTTGTCGAGTATGGTTCACTTTTGTTCGGCTCTCGCTTGGACTCAATAAACGACTACGCTGCTCCCGGTTTCGATACAGAACTGAATCATAAAATGGATCAGATGGAAAAAGATAGGGATAGTAATGGCTAAGACGGTAACAACTTCCTCTTCATCCTAGTTCTAATTCCCATGGCGGGGGGTGAGACGTTTTTGTTGAGACAAACTGTATTCCGGGGTCCTGAACTTGCGATGTGAATTGGCGCAGCTGCGATAGCTTGCCACTTTTTCCCCTTAAATTAAATTATAAATTACTGGAAACGAGAATGAATGGTGGTGATACCCCGCTGCCGACTCCATGCTCCTGCCGCGCGGCCGGTTGCACATGCAATCGTAGCCAAATGGGGTCTGGGCTGCCTCACTTCTGGTTGTTCTCTACCGCTTATGCATTTCGCTGTGGATCTGCGCAAACGCTGCATCTTGAGGATAGCACGGGAGGAGTATGGAGCCGGCACTGAGTACCACTACTCTCCAGCCCAGTTTCTGTACAACTTTGAGCGAAGAAAGTGGCACGCTATTGCAGCTGCGGTCCCATTCACCTCGCACATGGAAACGACCGTCCTTGAAGGTGAATGTACATTTCGCCTTCAAGAGGCACGATATCTCGCTGTAGAAATAAACTTCGTCAACAGGCTCTATACAGCCCCTCCGATTTTGGGATTGGGCCAACACCTTATGTAAAGAAATTTGATCACACATTGCAAAACAGATCACCACCAAATAAAAATTAGTCGGAGTAATCTCACAGCTATGGCGGACCATAATTTAGAACAAGCAACAAAAAAAGTTCGAAAATCCCTAAAGTAAGTAGCACTGAAACTCACATCCTAGAGGTCCTGGAATATCGGAATGATCGACCTTCTCTGCCGAAGAACAAGCCATAACTGATAAACCTTTCCTATGGGTGATAGTGATAGGAATATGCTAGATCAGCGTCAACTATTCACCCAGCATTGACTTTTCGAGGAACGACGCCCTCCGTACACACAACAGAGTTATTTCTGAAATTGATTTTCGTGATGCGTTCAAGTCAAGTAATTCCATACACAACAGTGGCGGCATGGCATCATCGTTGATAGCGTTCAAGGAGGTAACGCAGCGAAGATGTTGAGCGCTCAGAGAATATCGTTTGAAGACAACCCGACAACCCCCACCCCTCCCTCCCACACGCAACTGCATTTTCTAGATGGTGCTCCGTTAAAAACCTATGGTCGCTGAGTGACTCACTTGCAAGAAAAGAGCAAAAAAAAAACAGTGCATCCTGAGGACCCCGGCAGCTTCAACTAGAAGGTTTTTGTCGAGCTGTTGGTTTTATGTCAGCAAAGCGATATCCTGCTCCCTCTCGATCACTAATAATTCCCTTACGTCATCCAACATAGCATCACTTAACAGCGAAAAAAAAACTAAAAGCACGTTGCAAGAACGTGAACTCGTGGCGGAAATCGGCCTTGAGTTTCGGTGGGCGGAACAACAAAGGGGGCGTCAGAACTGCCACTTATGAGGGCCTTCCCTACTTACAAGGGAACCCCAACAGGTCGATCCGGCCATTTGCAATGAGATGTACATATGGGCGTGCCTTGAGCCGCTGAATTCAAATCTGCCCTCCTTTTTTGCGGAACGATTCTCTGAAGAGAGTTACGGACCATTTAATCTTTGCTCTGTTGTACAAGTTGAGAAGGATAGTTGCTTGCGGCAAGCGGCGATGGCCCAGTGGATAAGCGCAGCGCTTCAGAGACACGAACTCGCATGTTGGAATCCTTGACTCTTGGAATATTTTTGCTTTTGTTC